ATAACTCTAAATTTTCTTTAGGTCCCCATAAGATCATCAACGCCCCCAACCAGCAGGAAGTAGCCTGAAATACTACACCCACATTCCCAACAAATGGACTATGGGTATTTTCCTTTGTTTAAAAAAAAAAAAGAGGGAAATGGTGTGGGAGAATTTTCTCTATTCTGTCAATCATATTTTAATAAAACCCTGATTGGCCAGGCAGGCAGTATAGGCGGGAAAGCCAGACAGGAAGTAGGGGTGGAGCAAAGAGACTGGGAGTATTCTGGGAAGCAGGAAACTCCCTAGCCATTCCTGTGCAGACCACTGAAGAGGCAACATGTAAGTTGTCACACTGAGAAAGGTACTGAGCCCATGTGGCTAACATAGATCAGAATAATGGGTTAAGGTAAGTTATAAGAGCTAATAAGTAGCCTGACCTAATGGGTCAATCAGTTTATAATCTTATGGAGTCCTGTGTGTGATTTTCTCTTTGGGATTTGCTGGCTATGGGGTACCGGGCGGGACGGAAACCTCAACAAGCCAGCCCCCTCATGTTACACACCACCACTGCCTGATATTTGCAGAGTTCTTGCCCAACGTATAGTAGTAGCCAGTACTAGAAAATAAGTAAGTAAGTAAGTAAATAAATAAATAAATAAGATTAAAAGAATAAAGTTAAGGAAGAAAGGGAGGATGGAGGAAACCAGAGAAATAAATTCTGAAAAAGAGGAATCATATTATTATTAGCAGGTGTGCAGAGGTGGCTCAGTGGTTAAGAGCACCTTCTGCTCTTGCAGAGGACCTGAGTTTAGTTCTCAGCATCCACATTAGGTTAAACACAGCCACCTGTAACTCCATCTCCAGGCCTCCAAGGGCACCTGCACTTGTATGTGCATCCTCACTCCCCATAATCATGATTTAAAACTTCATATCATTAGCAAAGAGCTGGCAAGAAGCTTAGTCGGTAGAGTACTTGCCTAGCATGCCTCAGGCCCCGAGTTCAATCCCCAGCACTAAATAAAATGTGTGTTTGGAGGGTAGAGGCAGGAAGATGAGAAGTTCAAAGTCATCCTTGGCTACACAGTGAGTCTGAACCCAGCCTGCAAAACATGACATGGGGGAGGGGAGAGAGTGTATCCCAGAGGCAAGGCCAGAGACAGAGACAGAGAGATACAGAGAGACACACAGAGACAGAATTTTGTTGATCTATATTACATTTGCACCTAACAAAAGAAGATGATGAATTTGGAAATGTGAGTCACCTAAGCGTTGTTCCAAGGACTATAAAGGACCCAGAGGTTGATTTGACAGATTACACATGGACATACATATAATTAAAATATAATAAATCTCAAAAAAAAGTGCACATTGTAGTGTGTTGTTACGGTAGTACTTCCTGTCTGATCATGTTCGCTAGTGTCAGAAAGTAGAGACGTATCCAGCATGCAGGAGGCCCTAGATTCCATTCCCAGCACTGGAACAAGCAAATAACCAAATAAGTCATGAATGTGTCTCAATTGCCACCCTGCTCACAGCCATGATAAGGTCTGATTGCCTAGAGGCTGAGGATCGTGTCTGGTAAACAAGTGGACCTCAGGACTCATTGACCTAAAGCTGGCTGACGCCTGGGAAGGGGATTCTGGGTGGCAGAGACTGCGCTCTGGACTGCTTAAAATAGAGAAATGGAGCCATGTGGACATAGAAGGGTGGACATTTCATACGGCCCCACCCCTAGACAAAGAACTATGTGTAACTAATCTCTGCAGGAGAGGAAGAATTAGCCTGTCCCACAATGGGCCCCCTTATGGTTGTCCACTGCAGAGGGGTCAGCCCTGAAAGCATATAGAAACAAACAAACACAAAATAAAACAGGGCCAGCAGGCTGTATTTACTTATATTAGTGTGTGTGTGTGTGTGTGTGTGTAACAAATAATCAAATAAAAAAGAAGCTATAAACCTGAAAGTGGTGGGAAGAGTGTGGGAGGGGTTTGAGGGGGTAGGTGGAAGGGAGGGAGGAAAAGTAGGAGGGGAACAAACGGCAAATGTTGATGATGCGGACGAAAATGAACCCTTAACCTTGGCTGATGGGAATGCAAACCTGTCCAATAGCTATGAAACTCAGTATATAGGTGTCTTTAAACAAATGACAAAAATTTCTACCTGACTTAGTTAAAAGCTTCCTGGGTATTTGTTCCAAGAACTCGAAGTTGGCGCATGACAGAGACCCTTGCACATCAGTGATTATTCAGCTCTCTTCACAACAGTGAGCCAGGGAACCAACCTTGATGTCTCAAAATGGAGGACCAGAAAAGGGCAACAGGGTGTGCAGGTTCAACAGTTTTCTCCAGGTTTGGAGTCATGACCGTGGAAATGGGCGCAACTGGACATAAACATATAAGAGAGTTAAATGGTCTCAGAAACACAGATGCTGCACCTTATCTATCATTTGGGCTCCTAGATTGTGTGTATACATAACATTGTGAAAGTCGAACTGCCTGGGGTTATAAGGAGGACCAACGGGAAGAGAGAAGGGAGAGAAAGGAGAGGGTACAGAGGGTGCAAGGAAGAATGTGCTCAATATGCAGTATATACATCTACAAAAGCTTTTCTTTCTTTCCTTCTCCCTCTCTCCCTCCCTCCCTCCCTCCCTCCCTTCCTCCCTCCCTCTTTTCCTCCCTTCTTCCTTCCCTTCCTCTCTGTTCCTACATTCACGTTCATAGATTTGAAGGTTGCTGAATTATAACTATTTTCAAAAGAATAAAAAAAATTGTCAGCTTACGATTTAGAAAGCTCATCCCTTCAAATAAGTTAACAGTGCAGGGACAGCATTTCTTACTGTGTACCAAGAGACTCACTAGGAATTCTGTAGGCATTCTGATCAATCGAACTAATTGCTGGTGTAAAAAGTACCTTTCCCCGTTTTCCAGAGGAGACTCACATCCTCGGGAGAGGGTCTAAGGTGTACACAGCCACACAGTTTGTGAGTACGGCACAGCAGCGTGTACATACTAGCCCGGCAGGAAGAAGGGGCCGATGCTCTGAAATGCTATTGGTAACCCCTTCTTTGACCTAGAGCATCTAGGAAGTTGAGGTTCTCTGGGAGAACAGGGAGACCACCCAGGACAGGACTAGATACCCCTCTGCGCTTTCTTCCAGGGGCCATACAGCCCTGGGAACTGACCATGATGTGTGGCCAGGCTACCTGTGACACCCGGGCTGGTCTTGGTGTACTTGCTAATGTCTGCACCTGCCCAGTGAGGGGAAACCCAGGCACCCGGAGCTCTCCTGGAAAGATTGTCCTGGGCTTTCACTTCACTGATTTCAGAGGTCCTTGGGTCTGATCTTACTCCAGATGATCTCTGGAAGTCCCAAGATGACGTCCTGTTCCCATTGCAGTGTGCTGCCCTAGCCCTCTCCTGGCACCCAACCTCTGTTCCAGAGTCAAATTGTAGGAGCCAGAGAGTGGTAGGGGACACTGGGGGGATAGCAGGCTTCTCTCTCTTACCTTAGCCCTCATTCCCAGCATGATTGGGCCACTGGCCTTGAGTTAGGAGAGGCACTCTGTTGAAAGCACCAGGTTTCATTCCAGGGGTCCCCTCTCCTGGAATGGGCCAAAGACCTGGTTTGGGGTCTGCTTTTCAATCTCAAGCCTGACCTGGGTCAGACCCAGTCAGGAGTGGTGGGAAAGACAGCTGCTCTTCTGCATGACAAAGGGTGGCCCTGCTGGAGAGCCAGGGGACACACTGACAAGTCTTGCAATCCACTGTGGCTTTTCTCTTTAGCCCCTGACTGAGGTCGCCAGAATCTGCAAATAAAAGCTCTAGATACTGGTGTAATGCAAATCACAGGTAAACAGTGAATAATATATTAGTGTAATCTGTCCCAAATTCAGTCCTGTTTTTTTTTCCCCCCCTTTTTCCCAGCAGCGCTACTCATGGTGGATTGCTCAATTTCTCCAGTAGAATTCTTCAACCAACTCACAAATCCACATTCAGGAGTTCGGCCTCTATCTTGGGGAGGGCTTAGTAGACTCTGGAGTATAAGCCACCACCACCAACCCCTCCCTATTCCCCCCACTCCCGCCTCCAGCCACTCACATTGCATTGAGTCCATCTGGCTCTCTTTAAGTGCCTGAGCAGAACTTGGCAGAAAATAACTAGAGATATTGAAAACACTGACTATATGGGCACTTTTTGTTTGTTTGTTTGTTTTTCAAGACAGGATTTCTCTGAGTAGCTTTGGCTGTCCTGGAACTCGCTCTGTAGACCACGGTGGCCTGCCTCTGCCCCCAGAATGCTAGGATTAACCGTGTGTGCCACCACTGCTCAGCAGTGAGCATTTATCTTTATGTTGCCCCTTCTCTGAGTCATTATTCTCTTGGCTCAAAAATTGGGAGAGGGTGGACTTTCAACTCTAATTTCTATACAGCAAGGAAAGGAAAGGATGGAGCTTCTTGTTGGCCAGTCCCAGACTTTGTAGCCAAGGAAAGTCTACCCAAAGTAGGACATGCTAGCTTCTATCAGTCCCAGAAGTCTTTTGAACACCTGGCCAGGTGTACGGCAAAGCAAGTTGGTTGGAGAGCCCAGGTGTTGATTAGAGTTTGGTTCTTTCCAGGGTTTGGAAGCAGCAATGAACAAGACTATAAGTGCACATTCCAGACACTGGGAACAGGCACCCAGCAGAGAGTGAGCTCTCCACCACAACATCTCCAGGACCTGCCTCCCGAGCTGTGCTGGGGTTGGATTTGGGGCTTCATGTGTGCAGGGAGGTAATCTACCACTGAACGGTTTCTGCCCCCACCCTGAATGGTCAGGCACCCCTGGTCAGTGTTGAGACATCCGACTAACAGACAGTGGTGACCAGATGTTCTCAGTCCAGACAGGCCTTTGTGTCTTTTCTAGACAGCCAGCCCCTCCTCAGGGCTCAGGGGCTTGTTTCATGCTGAGCTCCCAGGAGGTCCCAGGGGTGTGACCTCTCTCCTCCTTCTTCCCCACCCCCCACCCAGGGCCAGCTATAAAGCTAGTCTGCACCAGCCCTCTGTAGACTCAAGACTCTTTCGGGACACCTCAGGGACACACGCGTCCACAGCTCCTTACCCTGGGCATCACCATGCGGTCCCTGTGGCTCTGCTGGGCACTCTGGGCATTGTCCCTGGTTGGCCCTGGGGCAGCTCTGACTGGAGAGCAGGTTCTGGCCAGCCTACTGCAACAGCTGCAGCTTAGCCAGCCCCCGGTCTTGGACAAGGCTGATGTGGAAGGGCTCGCCATCCCCTCCTATGTGAGGGATCAGTACGTGGCCCTGCTACAGCACAGCCGTGCCAGCCACTCCAGAGGGAAGAGGTTCAGTCGGAACTTTCGAGGTAAGCCCTCGCACGTTGTCCTTAGACTCTAGGCAAGGCAGGCTCACAGATCCTTCCACCTGTGGTGTCAATGGGCCATGGATTTGTGGGACTCAGAGTAGAAGCCATGGGGTCACAGTCTGAGGGGTTTATTAGAAGGAGCAGGTCTGGGAGAGTGCTGGGTCTGGTCACTGGGGACCTGGCTGTGCACTGAAGGACTCTTGGGGATAGAAAAAGGGGGGCTGAACTTGCTGCTAAATTCAGGAGCAGAGAAGAGGAGGAGAATGGAGGAAAAGAGAGCCCCAGGAGAGGTCAAGGCCACGTAGAACTTCCTGGGGTCACCATCTGGAATAGTGGTGGACTGTTTTGCCACGAACAGAGAACAGTGGCTGGGTAGGGGCAGCCCCGGGTAGCAGAAAGTTCAGAAGAGCGAGAGTACAAGTATCTCTTTGTCAGGACAGCAAGGAAGGGCTTGTATGGTAGCACCGCCTCTTCCAGCTGGAATCAGCCCTAGGGCACAGCCACATCCCCAGGTTTACTCTTCTAAGGTACCTAGGTCTGGAGACATAAGGATGCTGGTTCTGAACAGGCGATAGGGGTGACTGCTGAGGATAGGTGTGGCTGGCCGCTCAGGTGACCATCCTGCTATCCTAGAGCCCGTGTTCACAGTGACTGGTGCCGTTTAGGATGCAACCGCCCTTAACATTTGCCCCAGGCTCCTGCAGTCCTGATAAAGATGTCCACAGGCTCCTGTTCCTCTTTCACGGAGGAGTCATTGACTCTGTACTCTCCAGCTACCTTCTCCTGCAACCTTCGCTAAAGAATCTGGCATTGCTGTGCTCTTAAATCCCACCAGCTCCTTCATTACACAGGGGTTCAAAGCCACCACCAGGGGTGGCAGTTGATAATAAAAAAGACACAGCCCCACCGATTGTTTTAGCATTCAGAGCCTCATTGCAAAATTTATAATTCCTAGGTAGAGAGAGGTACTTTTTCTCCATGCTCATGGGCTTCCTGCTCCCAGTTCTTCCTGTGGATTAGGAAGAAACCTTGGCCTTGGGTCTTGGTGCCAGTAGAGGTCCGACTGACTTTGTCCATTGTCCACAGAGGTGGCAGGCAGGTTCCTGGTGTCCGAGACCTCCACATATTTGCTAGTGTTCGGCATGGAGCAGCGGCTGCCGCCTAATAGCGAGCTGGTGCAGGCTGTGCTGCGGCTGTTCCAGGAGCCGGTCCCCACAACTGCTCTCCGGAGGCAAAAGAGGCTGTCCCCACACAGTGCCCGGGCTCGGGTCACCATTGAGTGGCTACGCTTCCGTGAAGACGGCTCTAACCGTACAGCCCTCATCGATTCCAGGTATAGGCGCTCTCTCTCTCTCTCTCTCTCTCGGGGGGAGGGGAGCAGCAGAGGATGGGCTGGGGACAGGACGGGACTGGAGACTCCTCTACTAGTAGACTAGAGACAGTCTCCCAGTCCCCTCGCCTGACGCGCAGCTGTGTCGCAGGCTCGTGTCCATCCACGAGAGCGGCTGGAAGGCCTTCGACGTGACGGAGGCAGTGAACTTCTGGCAGCAGCTGAATCGGCCGAGGCAGCCATTGCTGCTGCAGGTGTCGGTGCAGAGGGAGCATCTGGGCCCGGGGACGTGGAGCGCACACAAGTTGGTCCGTTTCGCTGCTCAAGGGGCGCCGGGCAGCGAGGGGCGGGGCGAGCCCCAGCTGGAGCTGCACACTCTGGACCTCAAGGACTACGGGTAGGCGCTGTGGGTTAACTTGATAAGTGAAATCGAGAGACAAACGGGTATTTGACTTAACTGTGAAATGATAAAGATTCAGAGTGTGAGAATATTTAGAAAAGTCCCTCTGACTGTTAGGAAGCCCCCAGTAAATATTTTTTAGTTATTAATTATCCACTCCCACATAATTATCCAATTCCTTTGCCGTGGCACTCGGGCTGGAACCCAGGGCTTCACAACATGCCAGTGTTCTCCCAGTGAGCTATATACCCAGTCCAGCTCTTGAGCTGGATTTTCTTTTCTCTTTCTTTCACCTTCCTTCCTTCCCTCCTTCCTTCCTTCCTTTCTTTTCTTTCTTTCTTTCCTTTCTTCCTTTCTTTCTTTTTTTCGAGACAGGGTTTCTCTGTGCAACTCTGGCGGTCTTGGAACTAGCTCTGTAGACCAGGCTGATCTCAAACTCACAGAGATCTGCCTGCCTCTGCCTCTCCAGTGTTGGGATTCAAAGGCCTGTGCCACTACCGTCCAGCCCAGTGGAGAGCTGGATCTTAAGTCTCCCTCCCAGATGCCCTGATTTTAGCCTTCTCAACTGACTTCTGAGGTCTCATTCCCACAGGGCTCAAGGCAATTGTGATCCCGAGGCGCCTGTGACTGAAGGCACTCGATGCTGTCGCCAAGAAATGTATCTGGACCTGCAGGGGATGAAGTGGGCAGAGAACTGGATCCTTGAACCCCCAGGGTTCCTGGTCTATGAGTGTGTGGGCAGCTGCCTGCAGCTGCCAGAGTCCCTGACCATCAAGTGGCCATTTCTGGGGCCACGGCAGTGCGTTGCCTCAGAGACGACCTCCCTGCCCATGATTGTCAGCATGAAGGAGGGAGACAGGACCAGGCCCCAAGTGGTCCACCTGCCCAACATGAGGGTGCAGGAGTGTAGCTGTGCCTTTGATGGGGCTCTCATACCCAGGAGGCTGGAGCCATAGACAAAGGAAGTGGCCTCCCCAACGATGTGACTTTCATGTTTATCCGAAGTGTTCTATTGTACTGAGAGAAGGGGATTCTGAATCCCTGATGGGCTAATGCCCTGTCTGTGTTCTTTGCTGAGCTCTCCAAGCTCTTCCCCTAAATTTTACCTTTGTTATGAGGAATGTGACTCGCTGGCCACTAGGGGGCCCTACCTAGCTGTCTCTGTTCTTATTGTTCACTGCACTGTATGTTAAAGCACTTAACATGTATAGTTACTGTAAGCTAAGGACAGAATTCCTAATTGCCATCGTTCCCTTAACCTGTCACTGAGCCCCAGTGACTTTGTGACTTTTGCCCTAAGACACAGATGTATCAAAAATGCTCAACCTAGGTAATACGTACTTTGCTAGATGTGAATAAAATATGTTTTGTTCTGTAACTTTTGTTGTTGTTTGTTTTGTTGTTTTTGAGACAGGAACAGAGGCAGGTGAATCTCTGAGTCTGAGGTCAGCCTGTTCTACAGAGGCAGTTCCCGGACAGCCAAGGCTACACAGAGAAACCCTGTCTCAAAAATTCCTTCATAACTCTAGAACAGGGCTCACTCCTCTTGTCCTCTTGGACTGATGCAGGGAGCCTTTTACAGCATAGTCTGTAGCATAGTAGGATACCACATTTACAGAGACTTTGTAGAAATAACCAACGCAGAATCTCAGCCCAGGGAAGGGACCTCTGAAGTCTCTCCGCCAATCTACACAGCTGCTAGCTAAGACTTCCACACCCTCTAGCTGTGCCCTCAACCTTCTCATCTTGATCCTTTAAATAGGTTCAATCCCTAAAGTCCATGGCTCTGGTTTAAGGAACCAGCAATTCCATAATTGCTTTACACACTGACTGGCACATCCTGGCTAGTCCAACCCATGCTTTGGGTTTGTTTTTTTAGACAGGGTCTCACGTTGGAGCTGCTTGTTTTTTATTTTAGCATTATTCTTTCTTTGAGACAAAGGATCATGTAGCTTAGGATGGCCTCCAACTCCATATGTAGTTAAAGATGACCTTAAATATTTTTAAAATTAAATTGTGTGTGTGTGTGTGGAGAGAGAGAGAGAGAGGAAGAGAGAGAGAGAGAGAGAGAGAGAGAGAGAGAGAGAGAGAGCCAACTAGCATGGGCTGTAGAAGTCAGAGGGCAAACTTTTGGGAACTGGTTCCCTCCTTCAACTGTGGATTTTTGGGGGTCAGGCTTTCATGGCAAGCACTTTCACCCCATGAGCCATCATTGGCCTGGACCTGGACCTTGAATGCTGTGATTACAGTGATTACAGACAGGCTTGTACTACCATGGGTAACTTATGTGGTTCTAGGGATCAAACACAGGGCTTCCTGCACACTACCCAAGCACTCTGACAACCTGAGCTACATCTCCAGCCCCTAGTTCATTGCTTTCCATCTGTTTTGTCAACTGGCACCCTGACCATCACATCTCAGCATTCTCTGGACTTTGAGACAGCTGTCACCTACTGAAGAGCAGCCATAGGAAGCCTTTTCTGCCGTTATCAAGGGTCCTAACGTGTTCTTTTCTTTGGTAGTGGTGCCACCACCCTAATAGGACTGGGGCTGGACCCCAGGACCCAGGTCAGGCATGTGTCAGCATCATCACCAAAGGCAGGAAGTGAGGACTAAAGATGTGTGGAGTGGGAGCAGGGAGAACAGACAGAACCAATCCGAGGAGCCAGAGGAATGACCAGAAAGCGATGATAATCAGGGATCTAGGGAAGCCAACTAGCTGTGGGGTCTTTAACAAAGGCAGTGGCAGAGCAGGGGCGTGGCCAGGTAGAGCCAAGGGAAGACAAGGACAGAGGAAAGTTCTGGGAAATAACTGCTAGCTAGGCACTTAAGGGAGAGAGGATGGAAGTCAGACAGAGGAGAACCGAGAGAGGAAAGACACCCTGTTTCAGATAGCCACCAGCTAGAATCAGGGACAGGGAGGCTGCCAGGATATTTTTGTCTTTACAGTAGAAGATGAAAGCCCAGGCATGGAAGCGAGGTCAGAGAAGGGGCAAAGCTGTGCCTTGGGGAACGAGGAGCAGTTCAGGCATGAAGTTGGGTAGTGCTGGCAAGGACCCCACAGCAAGCTTTGGTTCCATCTTTTCCTTGTGGAAACGGAGGCCAGCAAGTGGGTAGGTTGCAGCCGTGGCCCGGCCACAGTCCTCATTCTATTCCCCAGCACATTCAGCGACGATCCTGCCCTGGGTGAGGGGGCAAAGCAGGTGCAGAGGCCGCTGGTTCGCTGGAAACCAAGTCCCATCCAGAACACACGGGATGCTCAGCGTGTTTGGCCGCAGTTGGCAACGCTGGTGATCCGGGCCGGAACTCTAGAAATGCTGTGTTTTATTTAGGACAGGACAGAGCTTTGGAACTTTCAAGGTCCCGGCTCCTTACTGCGGCGGTCCTCTCTGTGGGCTACAGATGACTGGTGCAGGGTAGGTGTCCTGTGCCCCGATGCTCCCTCGCACTGCGCCCCAACTGGGCCAGCTTATGAAGTTCCTGGGGACATTCAGCCCCACACGGAGCCGATCACGAACATTTGCAGATGCTCTCCAGCGCCGACCATCCTAGGCTTGGCCCAGTGTCTTCTCAATGGGAATGTGCTGGGGCACAAAGGAAAGACAGTCCCGAGACGTTCTCTCCCGGCCTTAGATGGTCTGATCCCGACCGTAGACCTCGGTGAAGACGGCCACGCGTGGACCAGGGTTAGAGAACCACAGACAGGCTCACTGCCCGGCGCACAGTCTTCGCGGTCCAGCTGGCGCCGGCGCGGGCGAACAGTCCAAATTAAGGAAGGCGTGCACGCAGTTCTGCGCATGTGCAAGTGGCGCCGGAGTTTCACTTTGCAACTTTTAAGTGGTGGGGACGCTGCCCCGCCCCTCCAGGTGCGGCCAGACCACTCCTACCCCCCCCTCCTCCCCGGCGCGCGCGTCGCGCCACCGCCACAGCAGGTAAAGTGGGAAGGGGAGCCGAGTAGGGGGGAGGTCGCGCCCCGCCGCTCCCAGGTCCACACTGGGCAGTACGCCTCGGGTCGCCTGGCCTGGCAGCTGTCGGGGTGGCAGTAGCCGGGTAGGTGTCTAGAGAGTGCCAATCAAACCCCGCGCCGCTGGGACTTCCTGACAGCCCTTGACTGCGTGGCCGACTTCCCTCCCTGTTCCTCGGCCGGGCTTTGGAGCTTGTTTGCCGGGTCCGATCACCCCGTCTAACTCGGAGGGCAGCCTCGGCGCTCTCTCTAATTCCTTACGAGGCTAGACCCGGCTAAAGCGGGTTTTGTACCATTCTGGTGACCACTCCTGCCCTGGTAGCATCGGGTGGAGGAAACCTGGGGACTTGGGGAAGGCCAGGGGGGGGCGAAGGGGGGGGGGCCCCCCCCCCCGCTGCGACAGTAAAGAAACCACATCCGACAACTTATCCTGGGACCTGATCAGCATGGCTACTTGAGACCTCGGGTAGGGTGGACTTTTAGTTCCAGGCAGGGACCAACAGTTGTAGGGACTTTTGCAAAAGGGAACACATTTTCTGTCCTGAAGCTCTAGTTGGTTCGCAGGGCCAGCCCCGTTGAGGTTTTTTTTTTTTTTTTTTTTTTCTTTTCTTCTTTTTTTTTTTTCTTTTTTCTTTTTTTTTTTTTTTCCTTTTTGGGTGGAGATGAGATGGTGGAATACTGGGCATTTGTGTATGAATGTGGGATGCTGACTATTGCTAAGGGTGTGCACCTAGGCAAGGCTACTGAGGCCACAGTGACTAATTGCTTTTTTATTTTAAGACCGCCCCCTGCCCCCTTTCTTAGCGAAGTCTTTGGAGCACAGGTCTTAGCGCACATTCTAGGCATGCTTTGCTCTGAGCCACGTATTCCTAGTCCTGGGGGCTAATTTGGCTTCTTCCCCACCCCGAGAGCCTTCTTGGCTTGGTCTGGCTGCCCCTCGTGGATGCGCTTCCCCCTGTCCTCTCAGAGCACGTTCCTTTAGGAAGGCTAGAAAGGACTGACTCATTGAGAGCTTAGGGAATGTTCCTGCGGCAGCCTCTGGCTTTTTATGCAGATGGTGGGTGGGAACAAGTTGCCCCTGGCTGGAAGAGCTGAGGATCTGAGACTGTGGGTCTTAAAGGTTGCCTTCACTTGGTTCCTCCTCTTTTCATTTTCCAAGTCTTTCATGTTTGCTCTGCTGCATTTGATTTCCCTGATTCTAGCCCTGGGGGACGCTGGGACACAGTGGCTGCGCCTGGTGTCTGCAAGAGGCAGAACCTGGTGAGAAGGTGGGTCTGAACTCTTGCCCAGGCTATCCTTCCTGCTGGCTGAGCTCTCAGTTCTTTCCTTTTGTCTGGTTTTCCAGTCTGACTTTCCTTAAGTCAGAGTCTTACTGCGTGGCTCTTTCAATATCTCAAACTTGCAAAGAACCACCTGCCTCTGCCTCCTGAACTCTGGGATTAAATGGGCGTACCACCACACCCGCCTCCCTTAGTTTTTACCAAACTTTGTAAATTGTCTTGGGAAATGTGTTTGGCAAGAGAAAAATGACTTAGAAGTGTGACTAGACTGTTGGGGAAGGGGAGCCAGAGGAACCTTCCTAGCTACAAGGCCTCTGTTTCTCCAAGCCCCTGAGACAGTGATTTTGGTGAAGCCACTCCTCCCACCCCAGCTCCACACAGCCCCTCCCTTCCCTGGGACAATGTCCCTTTGTGAGCATTTATGAGGATGTTTTTCCCTTTCTCTTTCCGAGCCTTCCTTGTTTGCTCTGTGGCCGGTTTCCTTTCCCCAGTTCTAGCCTTAGGGGACCTCGGGGTGCTGCAGAAGCCCTCGGGGTCTGTATGAGGACCCACAGCCACTGTGCTTCTGTGGGAGAGAAACCCTCCTGATTTTAGCAGGGCCTTGATCCACGGGACAAGAGGCAGGAAGCTGGTGCTGCTGGGTGGAGAGAGGAACAGGGCAGCACGGAGGAGCACCGGCAGCTGGTGGAGATCTGGGAGTTTAGGTGAAGAGCCAGGTAGGAGGAGACCCACTGGGCAAAGCCAGGAAGTGGCATGTGGGATGAGAGACATCCAGGCAGGTCTGAGAGTAGGAGCAGGGTGCCAAAGGACTGCTGTTCTGATTCCGAAACTGAAGGAGGGTGACTCCCCTGTGGCGTATGTGACACTGGGGGCATCTCTGTTGCTATAGGATAGTCTGTGAGGGTTGGCGTTGCAAGGGCAGGTCAAAGTGGACAGCCTAGCAGGAAATGAGGAAGTCAGAGCCTGACTCACCGAAACTAGGGAACTGTGGGGGGCTGGTCCAACTGAGGACCTCTCTCCACAGTCCTTCTGTGTCTGGTAAGCGTGATAAATGGAAGGCCTTGCATCACCAGACAGGGATGCTCCGAAGTACTGATGTTCTGGTCACTTGTTTCTTCTTTGAAACAGCCTTATGTGGAGATTTCTATTAGCACCAGAGGCACTGGAAGCCTCAGGAGGTGTCAGCACTGAGCCTGGAGCCAAGTCTGTTGGGTTCAGCTTTCTGTTGTAGCCAAGGCTGGTCTTAAAATCCCGATCCTCCTATTTCCTCCTTGAGTGCTGGGGTTGCAGGCCTTCTGAGACTATTCCTTACTTCCTAGGTGAGGTTTAAATGAGACAAAGCAGCTTCAGGGTGGAGGTGACCTTCATGACTGTTGACAGCCACTAACCAATGGCTATAGCACCATTCACAACACAGCTTCTTCCTCCAGCCACTGCAAGTTCCTTATAGAACATGAAAGTGATCCGTTCTTAGGCCTGTCTCCCTCCCATCCTCCCCTCACTTCCTGTCAGGTACATTGTGAGTGTGTATGTGTGTGTGTATTGTGTGTGTGTGTGTGTGTGTGTGTAAGAGAGAGAGAGTTCTGTATGTGTGTGTTCCCCGGCACAGCAGTGTCAGGAGTCAGAATTGGGGTCCCTCCCCCACCACGAACACTTTACTAGCACATTAGGTAGCTCAGACATGGGCTTCAGTTCTCTACACCCGCCTTTTTTTGTCCCTAATACTCGGGTTTGGTCTCTGTAGCAGGTAGAAGTAGACTTTGAGGAAGTCCTCTAGGGATTGTAACTTCAGCAGATTTGGGGAGGCGGGCGCCTAAGGAGAAAGGTGTTTTCTTATGGCTCTCCACTCATAAATTATGTATAGAGTAGGCCAGAACCTGGGCACCAAATCTCCAATGCCAGGGGACAGACTCTAGAGATTTCTAGAGATTTCCATTAGATTTGCCAGGAGTTCCAGGGGTGCCATAGTCTGCAGCTGTGTCTGCTTGAAACACTGAGCCTTCTGTTGGGGGGAGGGGTGTGGACGGAAGAGGGCGGAGCTAGGGGCCTGCTCTGCCCTGAGCCTCGCCCAGGAGAGGGCCAGGGCCTCTCCTCTCTGGCTGTCCCTCCCACTTTTGCCTCTCTTGGGGCAGCATCATGTGAACAGTGAAGAGTCAGGTTTTTTGTTTTTTTGTTGTTGTTGTTGTTTTGTATTTTGAGACAGGGTTTCTCGGTGTAGCTTTGGAGGCTGCCCTGGCACTTACTCTGTAGACCAGGCTGGCCTCGAACTCACAGAGACCTACCTACTTCTGCCTCTCAAGTGCTGGGATTAAAGGCATGCACCACTACCACCGGGTGAAGAGTCAGGTTTTGAGGCTCAATCCTGCTGCACCCAGCTTCTTGGTTTGGGGGACAAGTAGTCATTAAGTTTCAAAATTTGGGCTCCAAGTACAACCAGTCTTGGAGATCCCAGCTCTGACATCTGAGGATAGTTGGAGAGGGCTCTTGTCCCTGGCTCAGAAGGACCAGCAGTGTTCTTGGCTGTTCCCGTTCCTACCCACTGCTGTCTGAAGTTTCCTCTTTCCAGCCTTTGTGGCCCTCTCTCCTTCCCCTGCCTGTTTCTGGATGCCCTGAGGACTCTTGAAGGAGTTATTTTCCCAGAAGCACTTGAGGCTGGAGGAACTTCAGCACCCCCTCAGCCATAGCAGTGGCTACCTCTGACCAACCCATCCCTTTAGCTCATTTACCCCTTTTCAGGGCATCTGCTCATTGTGTACCCAGGTGGGTCATGTAGTCTGACCATCTGGGCCATTCCCAGTCTCTGTGAACTCTACCAGGCACAGAGATACAGTGCTCGGCTTTCCTGGCTCTGTGCAGAGGGTCTCGGGTGCTCCACCTGCATGGAGGGAGGAGGGACGGTGGCATGCACTTACCTTTGGCTGTGGCAGCCCTGGCTGGGGAAACGGAAAGTTCCCACCCTGATATTATACTTCTTGTTCCCTAGGGAGAGAAGGCAGGATGACCACCTCCTCATTCCTGGATCCCTGGCCATCCAAGGAGGTGTCCATCAATGAGCGCCTGGGCCTTGGAGACCATCCCAATGACTCCTACTGCTATAGCTCAGCCCCAAACAGCACTGTGCTTCAGGGGGTCACCTTCGGGGGGATCCCCACTGTCCTGCTCATAGATGTCATCTGCTTTCTGGTAAGGTCCTCTCTCAGTTTAACCCCTTATTCTCTAGGACCATCTAGGAAATGCACGTGAGGTAGATCCACACACCCGTGCGTGCTCTGTGACCCTGGGCATGTGGTAGACAGATCCCAGGTCTGGACCCACTGCAATGATTCCTTCCTCAGAGGACGTGGGCCTTGTGTGCCAGTGTGATCATGATCCCGATTGCAGAGCCACTTGCCAGGCCTGTCTTGCCTTACTGGCCCTCAGCGTGGGTGGCGTGAGAGATGTGAGGGTTGTTGAGGGCCAGAAATAGATTGCTAGAGCTGACCTTAGGGGATACATGTCCCTTTCTTTAATGTCGACTTTATGTTTGCAAAGATTCCTCCAATTGAAACAGCCGTTATTATCTTTGCAGTGGCTCAACAGTGGTTGAGGTGTGGTGTGTGTGTGTGTGTGTGTGTGTGTGTGTGTGTGTGTGTTTTAGGGATGGAACCCAGGGCTTGTGCATACCCTGCAGGTACTTTCCTACTGAGCCACATCCCAGCCCAGTTAGTTTAGATTTATTGGGATTAACATGCACTGTTTTTTTTTTCTTTCACTAAAACCCCCCTCCCCCCAGAGCTGTGGTTCCCTTGACTCCAGCATCTAGGAGTAGAGAATGGGATAGATGAGAGCATTCGTATCTTAGGTCTGCCCAGGACTGGTGGCTAAGCTGAGTAGGAAAGCTAGGAAAGGAGGGGAGGCAGTCAGAGGACCCCAGTCCCTGCCTGGCAGAGGCAGAGGGCCCCACATGCATGCAGAGGTTTCTAGAGCCGCCGAGGTCTACATTGTTGCCCTTAAAATTCGCTATATTGTTGCTCGTCAGGTCTGATACAAAAATTGCCTGTTCTCACCTTGGCTTTCGCCAAAAAAGGGATCTCTACTGAACGTTCTCAGCACCATCCTATTGGCAGGAGAAAAATAGTTCTCCATGCTTGTAGGACTTGACCAAGAGGGTGGAGAAGGCAAGGTGTGGCAGTATACTGAAAGGGAGTGGGGTCTATGCCCTCAGGATGGAGAGAGCTAGGCGAAGGTGATGGTCTGAAGAGCGCTGTGGAGTGCCCAGGTGGGCTGGGTAGCTGCTTAGAAAGAAAGTCTCTTTCATTTAGACTGTGCCGGTAGGGGTGATTTTCTTCTTCATAAGGGACAAGGGCTCACTATGTTGCTGAAGCTGATCTCTGAACTCCTAACCTCAAGTAACCCCCCTGCCTTAGCTACTCAAATAGGTGGGATATTAGGCTTATAACAACCACAATGGATTTTTTTTTTCTCAAGATAGGGTTTCTCTGTCTAGCCCTGGCTGTCCTGGAACTCACTTTATAGACCAGGCTGGCTTCAAATGCAGAGATCCACCTACCTCTGTCTGGGATTAAAGGCATGCGCCACCACTGCCTGTCTAGGAGTGTAGATTTTTATTGCAGGAATTTATGGGGTCAAGCGGGTGCCATATGCAAGCCAGAGGGTCCTTGAAGACCTAGGTGTGGGAAGATGTCCACATTGCGTGCGCAGAGGCAAGGCAGCAATGGCAGAGAGAGGGTGAGCACATGCTGAGGGGCTTGTGTGTGTCCTACAGGTGATTCATCTGTCTTTGAAAATACGTCACTCACTTCTGGACTTACCTTAAGAAAATCTCACAGAAACTCAGGGCTTATGAATTTCCCTTAAGGGAACAACATTCACCTTTAAAACCCCAGTTTCTAGGCAGGGCCTCTCTCAATAACCTAGTATCACCTAGTACTGACCTAGAATGTCTAAGGCGCCAGGTTCCATCCCAGCACTAAATAAGCACATACATAAATAAATCCAGCTTTTGACCAGAGCAGGCAAGCCTGTGCTGGTTAGGATGCTTCTTTTCCCCATCTCTGAATCTCAAAAGCGCCTGTGTATTTCGGGTGAGAGCTGGCCAAGGTGGAAGTAAAGGGCCTGGGGAGACAGGTAAGCATCTCAGACATCTAGAGCCAATAGGCAGAGAGGGGCCTCACTTCCTCATGGGGCTGCTGCTGTCACACAGGCTTATTCATCTCTCCCTGCTTTCTGGGGTTGGGCCAGCCTGGAGTGCCAGGGCCTGACAGAGTTCACTGGGTGCTCTTGCTGTGTGTCTGCAAACTTGCCTTTAGAAGAAACAAATGCAAAGAATCTGACTTAAAATAAAATAAAATATGATTAAGAAAAATCAAGCCAGGTGCATCCCCTTAGTCCCAGCTACCACTGGCTGAGGCTGGGGGATCACTTGGACTTAGGAGTTAGAGGCAAGCCTGGGCAATCTAGTGAGGGCTTGTCTCTAAGAACGCGGTTTAGGTGTGAAGTAAAGGGGAGAGTGGTTTTTTCAATCAGGTGAGGTCAGACCTCATCTTCTGACTTGGGGTCTGCTGCGGCTGATGTACTTGAGTAGGAAGACGTCACTCAAGCCTGTGGCAGTGTGACAACCTTGGTGACTTGGCACAGGTGGTGGAGGTTGTTGAATGAGTGAAGGAAGGTGTCAGGCTGCTAAGCTGTGTGTTATTTCTGGGCCAGATGGGTTCTTCTAGCCCGCTGAGTCTAGCCATCCCCAGAGCCCGGCCAATGTTCTTTGACTTGGTTTTTTTTTCCTTTTAGTTTTTAGTCCTGGTGTTTTCCTTCATAAGGAGAAGATTCTGGGATTATGGCCGCATAGCCCTGGTATCAGAAGCAGGCAGGTAAACAAAACGAAACATTTCACCGAGAATGTGAGCATGTCTGTGCACCCCTGAGTGTGAGTGTTATGTATGGATATGTGTGCCTTGTGCATATATGTGTGTATGTAAATGCATGTTTGCTTACATGTGTGTCCATGTATATGTGTATGCATATATATGTGTGTGTATGTTGATGTATGTGTGTTTCTGGGATGGGCTGGAGTCAGAAGCTGTAGCTTCCTTTCTGCTGGTCACCAGATCCCTTCGAGGCCTTCCTTCTTAGAGTATGCTCAAGGAAACTGATGCTGGAGATCCCCTCTCTCCTCAGGCTCTGGTTTCAGGCTGTGGAGGATCACCATTACTTTTAGGATTTTTGTCACCAGGGAAGGCAGATAACATTTCCTTCCTCACCTTGGACACAGCTCTCTGAGAACGTGTCTCTCTCATCTGAAGTTAATTACCTTGCTCTGGGGCTAGCTTAGTGATCAAGAAGGAAGGCAGGTGTGGGGAAGCGACCCACCTTCCTTCCTGGTCAGGGCTCAAGTTGGATAAGCCTGTTAACCAAACACAGGCTCTCTGGCCAGACCTCAGGCCTTCCCAGTTCTATTTTGGGTGGGGACAGCTCTGTGCATTTTACTAAAGGTGAAGATGAATCCTAGAACTGGATTTTCCTGTTTGGTCTGGTTGCTTGAACCTCTGGAAGGGGTGTCGGCTGAGGCAGCAAGAAGGGAATGGGAGACAGCCCCACTTTCATGCCTATCTTGGTGGCCCCCACTTTCGTGTCTAATCCCGGTGGCCCCCACTTTCATGTCTATCCCAGTGGCCCCCACTTTTGTGTCTATCCCGGTGGCCCCCGTTGCTTCAGCTTCTGAAACGTTGCAGTGGTGGGGTGATGAAGGATGGTACATTTAGAGAGATGCTTCCTTTTCCCAAAGATCCCTTCAACTGTTCCACTCAGCTTGGGCCTGAGCATGAAGATCCTACCTCAGGACACAGGAGAGGCCGTGGGAGCTATCTTCTATGGGAATGGTTTATTTTCCAGCTCTTGAGGACATGTCTTTCCAGACAAGGCTATTTTGCTCTTCTCTTCCCTCCATGTCACAGAACTGGGGAGGGCATCTCACTCTCGGACAAGGGGTCTCGGAGGACCCTTTGAGACAAATCTGAAATGCCGCAAGAGGTGGGGTAAGCAGCCCCTCTGCTAGAGCCAGCTCCTCAGGGAGCTCAAGCAGCACATGGCGCTTTACTGATGTGTCATACACCTTGGCCAAAGCGCTGAGCTCCAGGTTCAGCGAGAGATTCTCTTAAAACATAAGACGAAGAGAGGCTGAGGGAGATGCCAATGTTGGCCCCCTGTCACCACATGTGTGTGCTTGTATATCTTTACCTTAGCACGCGAGTGCATGCACACACACACACACACACACACACACACACACTCACAGATGCTACCATATTTAACATGCCAGTTCATCTACTCTGAGATGCACACTTGAGCGTTTTGCACCTTTTACGGTAGAATTGGGGTGCCTCTTTTTTTGTCGTTGTTGAGAAAAATGTATCCTATGCCCTGGCCTCACAGGTTGGCCTTCTTTGAACTTCGGATCCTCCTGTCTCGGCCTTCAAGTGAGTACTGGGGTAATTACAGGTGTGCACCACCATGCCCAACATGAGATTATCTGTTCTAGCTTAATTGGCACCATTGTTTCTTTCTTAATGGTTCATTAAAAAAACTATGCACCTAACCGCTGCTGGTGTCTTGGATTAGATAAAATACTGTGTGTATGTAGGTACATGTGTGTTTTTTTTTTATAATTTTTATAGTTTTACAGCTTTATCATATGTGTATGGGTGTTTTGCATGCATATATGTCTGTGTACCACATGTGTGCTTGGTGCCCACAGAAGACAGAAAGGGGTGTCACGAAAGGGTGTTGGGTCCTCTGGGACTGGAGTTATAGATGTTTGTGAACCACCATGTGGGTGCTGGGAATTGAACCCAGGTCCTCTGGAAGCAGTCAGCGTTCTTAACCACTGAACTATCTTTCCTGTCCTTTGTGTGTGTTTTGAAGTGGATACATTCCAACGATGAGGCCTTGCAGGTATTCTTACTTTTCCTTAGCTTACTTCCTGGGTAGGAGGAGGGGTTATTTATTCCCCTGCTGCCTCTGTTCCTGTGACCACTCCTTCTCGGGCTCTTTTCTCTGGAATGAAGCCTCTTTTTATTGCCTGTCATTCCCGTCACTTTGGTAGGATAAAATGCAGCATTCTAAGTTGATTTGGATGTCTTAGGAAAGGCACTGTAAATAGGCAACATTCTGAAGTTCTTTAGGTGGACCGTTCAGTGCTGAGGTTGGAGGGTACACACAGGTATGGTTCCTTGATGCCACCTGGCTCTGTGCTGTTCAGAGTTTTATGCCATTTGGGTTTGTGGGCATTGTCTCTATCTTTGTTTTGTTTTGTTTTGTTTTTGAGCAGTTTATATTTGTTGCAACTATTGAGTGTCAATAGTTTTGATCCTGAACTCTAAGATTAGAAAGCAAGGTAATGGACATGTATATTCAACCTTTTTGAATTTTAGAATTATTTATTTATTTTTTTTGTTTCTTTTGTGTTTCCAGTGAGGCCAGATTCCAGAGACTGTCATCTTCTTCCTCGGGGCAAGAAGACTTTGAAAACGAACTGGTTGGTATCCAAGGGACGGTTGTTTTTGTGGCCCGAAGGGCAGAGGGTACAGGCAGCCTGGCAGTAATGATTGATGGAGGGCTGGACAGTTGTTCTGGTTCGGTGACTAACAACAGCTCTACAGTCTATGAGTGTGGTCCACTCTGGAGGGAGCTGCCCTCCGTACGCACAGAAACACGGGGACTCGGAAGAAGCTTGAAGGAGCCGGTGCTTAAGTGATCTCTCACCGCAAGGCTCCATTCACTGCAGGCAGAAAGGGCTGTGGATCCCCAGGGCTTTGCCAGCAACTTGACTGTGACCCATGAGTTGCTCCTCTCTCACACTTATGGTACTTGTGTAAGAGTTAATTATTGACTCAGCTGCTAGATGTTGAGCCAATGTGGGCAGGAACCCTGCCTCATACAGCCTTGTCCCCCAGCAGATATCTGGAAAGTACTTAGTCATTGTTGAATGAGCAGATATTTGTCTTTTCCAGCAGGCAGCCACCTAGCTATGAGTAGTAGGACAGCAGAGATCACAGAACCTGTATATACTTCTTTCCCTCTCCAGGGTCTGCTCTGGGGTACTTTCCAATTCTCTAGACTTGTTCCTGTTTCCCCCACACACACTCTTTTTGCCATTTGGAAATAATTTTACAGAAGTTCACATTATTTTTCCCAGCTTGTGATTTGACCCTGGAGCTTATATAATGCCACTGATTTTGACAAAACTTGAGAGGTTTTTAGCAAGGTTGTGTCTTTTTTTTTTTTTAAGTTCTGCCCTCCCCATGGGGTTGTGCCTTGCAAAGGATGAGAGTCTGAGGGAGTAACTGATCAAATGTGTGAAAGAAAACCCTGTTTTACCCAGCAAGACATGGGATGGTTATTTAATCTCAAAGATGTGATCGTATCTGCTTCCCAAAGACATAGGTGTTGGATGCTAATGCCTGTTCTCCGTCTCTAGGGATGCTGCCCTTGGCTGACTGCCATCTTCCGCCTGCAGTGAGTAAGATGGGGGTGTGTGTGTCTGCCGGGGCATATGACTTCGTGTGGGTGTTTGATCATTCAGGAGGATGTAGCTGAGATGTTTGATCCTGTGATGGTGTCTTCCATACTTTTCCATCTCAGGACCCCAACAGGGTACACGGGCTAGAACAGAAGTGGCTGGGAAGCCCCTGTAGTCAGGGTACAGGGGAGAAGGAGGTCTTCCAGGCACACAGCCCAGCCCTACTGGCACTCAGGGATCCCCATACTGCAGATGGATTTCAAAAGGTTCTTGAAACTTAAACTTTATTTAAAAAATATTTCATGTTGGAGAGATGGCTCAGGGATTAAGATCACTGGCTGCTCTTCCAGAGGACTCAGGTTCAGTTCCCAGCACCCACATGGCAGTTCCCAACTGTCTGTGATTCCAGTTCCAGGGAATTTGGTACCCTCACACAGACTTCTCCGCCTGACCTTGGACGCAACTCCCATCAAACTCCACCATTTACAACAGGGTCTCTCACATATTAGTTCACTGGAATTGGCCGCCTCAGTGAATTTTTATCATCTTTCATCAGTTCTACGATGACCTTTCCTTCCATATTTCCACTCATCAGAAAGGCGACCTGCAGCTGTAGCTGTGGTTGCTTAGCTGCCGGCACTGTCTTGTTTGTAGTGTGACACATAATGACGTGTGTCTAACAGGGATGACTATGTAGACTTTGGAGTGGACAGCCACAAGTGGCAGAGCCAAGACTCCTGCAGCCCTGATAGCTGGCTCCTTCTCGCGCAGGAAACGTGACCAACCAGGCTTTATCACCAAGTATTTCTTAGATTTCTCTCCTTAATTCCCACGTTTTGGAAAGAGAGAAAGAGACAGAATTTTTAACTAAATGAGGTGGCTGTATGAATATGGGATTGAATCCAGAGCTTCATGCATAGTAGGCAAGTGTTCTATGTCTGAGTTATATCCCTAGCCTTTAGCAAAATATATTTTATTTCCCAACTAACTCCTTCCAACACATATAAGCCTGTCTAGCAGAATTCCTTTCCCGATCCAGTCACTGTTAAATAGTAAGTAGAATAATTTCTGCCTAAAGTAAACCAAAACAAAACTTTAATTAGCTTGCATAATATTATAAAAGGAAAGGATAAGGGCCTGGCGGTGGTGGCGCACACCTTTAAGCCCAGCACTTGGGAGGCAGAGGCAGGAGGATCTCTGTGAGTTCGAGGTTAGCCTGGTCTACAAGAGCTAGTTCCAGGATAGGCCCCAAAGCTACAGAGAAACCCTGTCTTGAAAAAGAAAGAAAGAAAGAAAAGGATATCATAGAATTAATGGAATATGTTAGTTTGCGGATATTGAGTCCCACTCTCAGGGCCTCAGTTTTCCCACCTGTTGAGTGGGAGTTTCGTAGGAGTTGTAGTTGAGGTTGTGGGCAGGAGGCAGGGTCACTGGGAGAAGCCAGAGAACTTGTTGAAGCAAGAGGAACAAAGTGGGTGTGTGTGTGGCTTGCTTAGACGCGCAAAGGTGTTAATTGCAGAGTTCACCCTGGAGTGAAACTGAGTGAGCCTGAGACCCACTCGCCCCTGAGCATCCTTGGGAGTGGGTGCACTTTTTGTTCATTGCGTCTTTGAGCTCTGCTGGGTGGATGAGGTGGAAAATGGGCGGTTAGTTCCTCTGAGCCCAGTCAGGTTCAGGCGTGCTGAGTCTGCACAAGGTGCTGGGATGCAGGGCCCACACTGCGATGTGTAAACAAACTTCTTCAGGCTTCCAGACTTGCTTCTCTGGGTTTACCACACAGGGCTTTCTTGGCCTCTGGAACAGGAACCTTGGATCCCCTGCTGTGTGTAGAATATTCAGGAAAGAGCAGGTGGAACACCTGGCCCTCCTCTCTTTATGGCAAAAAAATCCCAACTGACCCAGGAATTCCCTGTGGGTAGGAAGGCAGATCAGGTCATTTCCCCATCTCTGGGGCCATGGCAGGGACAGAGGGAAGGAGTGATATACTTGGATGGAATGACATAATATGTTCAAAACATGGCTCCCCTTATTCTCCCAACCCTTCCTGGGGTTGGGGGATGGGAGAGAGGGTGAGAAGGAGGGCCCAAGTACACTGCACTGTGTTCCCCAAATGGCTTTCAGCAGCCATCTTGCTGTGGAAGCAAGTAGGGACTGTGGGGAAGGTGTACCACATGCTCATCTGTTATATAATGGGCACACAGATGTTTTTAGCTGCAGAACACGGAGGATGGCAAGTCCTCTGCCTAGAGCATGGTGTTGAGACTGGAGGTGGCCCCGGAACTCATGCCAGTAGTAGCTTTGCAAGTTGTGTGGTCCTTAAAGCTCTATGGTTTTTCTGTGAGTTTGTACCCACACATCAAAGGAAAGGATGTGGGCTAAAAACACTGTCTCCTACAACAGTCGTAAGGGTTGGATGGAAACTCCATGCAAGGCCTTGCAGGCCTGGCCTCCTGTTGCTACCTGTTAAGAATGTCTCCACGTGTATGTCTTGGCCAGCGATGACCAGATCCTGGAGTGGTGTGGGGAGGACGCCATCCACTACCTGTCCTTCCAGAGGCACATCATCTTCCTGCTGGTGGTCATCAGCTTCCTGTCCCTGTGTGTCATCCTGCCTGTCAACCTCTCGGGAGACTTGCTGAGTGAGACCCTTTCTTGCCCATTGTCTCTGTTGGGAGGGAGTGGGGCATTGACTCTGTGGAAGGGACTCAGTAGGGTGGGATGCGAGACAGTCTTAGAGTGGCTTTGAGAAAATTGTCATCCAAATAAAGATCTGGAAAAGAATCCATCCAAGTCTGGGCTGGGAGCTGGGGCCCCTCATCAAGTTTGGTTCTAAGTTGGGAAAAAAAGCAACCAACCAACTAACCAACCCCAGGTACAATAGAAGTGGAGGTTTCAGCAGCTGTGTTTTGCTTGTTTTTTTGAGACAAGATCCTACTATGTAGTCCAGGCTAGCCCTCCCTCACCCTCTTGAGTGTTGGGTTATAAATATGGCCTCCACTCCCAGCTTCAGAATCTATTTTTCAATTTCCTGCCCTTTCCCAAGCCCAGAGGTCACTATTCATGGACCCAGAAGATATCTGTGATACACAGTCAAGTCATTGTGGAATTATATCTTCTTAGCTCCCAAAATGCCATCCCAGACCCACCTGTGACATCTAGTGGTTCTCAACCTTGAGAACCTTGAGTTGGTAACAACCAAGAATGCTTCTAGTTATCATCAAAGCATCTTTAAACAAACCCCAGTGCAAAATGACCTTAAATTCTGACTTTGCTGGCACAGTAAGCTGTAACAGAGGTCCTGGGTGATTGAGATCTAAATAGTTGATGAATAATGTCATTGTCTTCCATGTCTAGGAAGACACACCATGTCTAGGCATCTTGTGCTGTGCCTCCCTGAGCTATAGAACTTTTCTATAGAACTTTTCTCACTGTGACCCTGGACCTAAGTGTCTATTTCTCTGCAGATAAAGACCCATACAGCTTTGGGAGGACGACAATAGCAAACCTGCAGACGAAGTGAGTACGGAGCTTGCTGACCACAAAGGAGGCTGGTTTGGGAGCCTGGAGCAGGCTGGAAACACCTCAGTGCTGCTGGGTTGCCGGGCTCTGGTGTGACCACGTTCTGGGAAGCTTCAGGTTGGCAGGAGGCGTAGAGCCCCGTGTCAGGACAGAGAAACTGTGGTGTGACCATGTTCTGGGAAGCTTCAGTTTTGTAGGGGGCTTAGAGCCTAGTGTAAGAGTAGGGGTCTCCCTGAAGTATTTACTCACTGATGAGGGCCATTGACTACATGGCATCTGTTAGAGGCAAAGCTATTGGCTCTTGGCAAGGTACCCACTGAGGGTGATCGCTCCCCAGCCCTGTAACCTGTCCCTTCTGTTGGGATGCCCAACCTTGACAGCAGGTGATCTCTTCCTTAGCAATGACCTCCTTTGGCTGCACACCGTCTTCTCCGTCATCTACCTCTTCCTCACTGTGGGCTTTATGTGGCATCATACACGCTCCATCAGATACAAAGAGGAGAGCCTGGTGAGTGAGCCGGGACTTGTTCTGGGAGGGTCTCAGGTGAGCGATGGAGGGGTCCACAGCAGTAGTGAACGTGGGGGGTGCCAGAATCTGATTTCTGTGTTATGCTCTCACCTGGCATTACCACCATCACCACCAATCACTGTATTTTTTTTAAAGACAAGGTCTTGTGTAGCCAAGATTGACTTTGAGCTAGCTATGTAGCTAAAGATGACCTTGAACTTATGATCATCTTGCCGCTACCTCCCAAGTGTTAGGAATATAGGCAATGCATCGACATACTCAACTTATTATTATCATTTAATTTATTGGTAAGCTGTAATTTGGACATTTTCCTTCAGTTTGTCAGTTGCTATTTGATCTGTGAGGTCAGGGGTGTAGTTACTGCTAGGAAGTAAGGAAGTATGTTGAGAACTGAGCGTGAGCCGAGGGTAGAGCGCTTGCCTGCCATGTGCCAGGCACTGGCTTTGATAACCTAGCATGCCAAAACAAAATAAACGCCCATCCCATTTTAGCTTCCTTTGTTAGTTACTGTGATAAATACCATGATGCAAAGCAACTTAGGGGAGGAGGAAAGTTTATTTAAGCTTATACTTCCAGAACACAGTCTATTGTTGAGTCTTGGCTGGAACTGAGTCAGGAACTCTGGAAGAATACTGCCTACTGGATCATCACTCCCAGGCTGGTGGCCTTCTAGCTTTCTTACACAGCTATGAACCACTTGCCTAGGGATGGCGCCACCCAAAGTGGGTTGGGCTTTCTGACACCAATCATCTATCATGACAATTTCTCACAGATATGGCTCAGACCTATCTGCTCTGGGTGATTCCTCAGTTGAGGTCCCTTCTTTCCAGTTGACTCTAGGTTGTGTTAAATTGACAAAACCAAAACAAAACAAAAAAAAATTAAAACAAAAAAACTAATCAGCACCTGGTCCCCCAAACCCCAGTGTGGGTTAAGGACAGGTGCCCCACTGTGACTTGGTTTCAACTCCTTTGCTTTGTTGCCTGATTCCTTTGAGTTTCTGTCACTCTCTGGGCTCCCTCAGTCCCCTGAGGCTCAGGAGTTGCTTTGGAAAAGGATGCAGCATAAATAACCCCTGGGCCTCTTCAAGGCCAAGAATGACAAAACTTGAACCTCTCATCTGCCATGGTTTCCTTTCTTGAGATGTGAAGGAGGTAACACGTGCCCTTCCCCCCATCACCCCATGATTTATCTCTGTGACTTTCTTCTTGCTGTGGTCCCTGGCAGGTGAGACAGACCCTGTTCATCACAGGACTCCCCAGAGAAGCCAGAAAGGAAACCGTGGAGAGCCACTTCCGGTAAGAGAAAGATCCCGTGAGCCATTCATGGTGAACAGGGTTATTGGACCGGAGCCTCTGAGGCCTGTGCTGAGGATGGACGCTGTGTCTTCTGTCTGGATATGCAGGGCTAATCCCTCCCTGCCATAGGTATCGAGTGACTTCCAAGTGTGCTGCTGCTGAGTGCAGTGGCCTGGCGTGGGTGTGGGGTGTGTGTGGGGAGGTGTCCTCTGTGGCTGTTGTGGTGAAGCCTCCGGGATCCAGGATCCAGAGTGCAGGCACAGAAGTGTTCCCACAGAGCTGTTCTCCCAGGCCCATGAATGTTGGCTGTCTGTTGGGAGAGATTGACTGTCAAGGGCTCTGGGACAACCTCTGCAGCCATAGCTCCTGCAGGCAGAGCAGGCGATGGTACAGCCACAAGCACAGGGAAAGCTCAGGTTCAATTCCTAGCGAAAGGAGCAACTCCAAGGCTCCCCCTTCATCCTGGTCAGTTCTGCCATCACTGACTCCTAGCAAATACTAGGAGTTAGCTACAAATTAACTTTGTGCAGTTTATGACAAAAACACTAGGTGAATAATTAGTATAAATAGAACTATAAAAGAATGTTTAAAATTATTGCAAATCTCTCCTTCAGTAACTACAACTATTTTCGGAAATATTTACATATATTTACATATGTATGTGAATTTATTTGCATATTCATTTGATAAGAGAATGATTTTTCTGGTCCTTGAGAAATATTCCTCTAAGTTGCCTGCCAGGCAGTGTTTGGAAACACTGAGTCTACTTCACGCACGCACTTAAGTAGAAAAACAAGTGTCCTCATTGCCAGGCAAACACTGTGACTCAGACTTTCCCTGTTCTAGGAAGCCTTCCTGGGGAAGGCTGTTGCAGTGCCTTGTGGACTTGTGGGCTTGCTCTGCAGCGGGGCCACTTTCTCTGGGAATCCCTTCCTCAAAGCCTTTTCTTTTCATCTTTTTGTGGTTCGGATTATTGAATCTTGCTAGACAAAGACTCTACCACTGAGCCACATCCCCAGTCCTCCTCTGGCTCTTGTTGGGGTCTGAAATGGTCACATTGACCAACAAATTAGTTAGCTCCTCCGTGGGAGCCTTCTCACACACTCACTAAAATCTAAACTTAAGCAGGCTCTGCTCCCAGCACCCAGAATAGCAGCAGGTGGTGCCCACGTGGGCCCGGAGTTCTCAGGAGTCACGTGGACAGTGTTTTGTAAGTGGCGCAGGGCCATTTTGTGGTAGCTATCGGCTGACCTTGGAGCTAGGCCGCCTAGCTTCAGCTTCTGGCTCCAGTATTCACACACTGTGTGACTCTGAGCATACAGTGCTTACCCTTGGTGATGCAGGCATTTTGTTGACTGTTAGTATGTGTGTAGATTTTTCCAGCTTGAGGGTATTTTGCTATTCTTAGGTCCTCTAGAGGGTCTATTGCCTTCAAAAAGGTTATGGGCAGAGTGGATTTCAGCAACATCCTAAGGTAGATACATCCGTAGAACAGATGATCAGTCTCTGTCTTTGAGTGACTGGAGAGGATAGTGGCGCTGGGGGTAGAACCCAGGGCCTTGTGTGTGCTAAGCACTCTGCCACTGAGTCACACCTCAGGCCTGTTGTGTTCGTATTTCCCCATGAGCAATTCCTCCCAACCAAAAGTTGAGTAAGTATAAATTTGTCAGTTCAAGGCAGTTACTTACATATTATTAAAAACTATGCCTCTGGGGCTAGGAATATAAAAAGTGATACAGTATTCACACAGTCATGGGTTCAATCCCTGTCAACACACACACACACACACACACACACACACACACACACACTCACCTCTTGGTATTAAACTTCAAATTTTTCCTCTTTGGCAAATTAGGAACAGCTGGCAGGCAACAGCAGCATGACTTCATTGCAAGGGCAGGTAGGGCGGTCGTTTCTACAGGGATCTTCTCTTTCAATGGCTTTCTCTGCCCTGCCTTGCTGGCCACAGGGATGCATATCCTACATGTGAGGTGGTGGATGTCCAGCTGTGCTACAGCGTGGCTAAGCTGATGTACCTGTGCAGAGAGAGGTAAGGGAGGTGGTACCTGAGCTCAGCTGCAGCTTCCCCACCTCTTGCCCCGAGATGCTCACCTGCTTCCTTGCTGGGACCCTTCAGCCGGCAAGGGGAGGGTGGGCCTGCCTCTTTCTGGATCTCACAGCTCAGCTCCTAACCCTGCTGGTGGGGACTTGTTGGCTGTGAGTCTGAGTTTGAGCTGCACTCCTCCATACAGGAAGAAGGCAGAGAAGAGCCTCGCTTATTACACAAGTCTGCAGGCCAAGACAGGCCGAGTGACCCTCATCAACCCCAAGACTTGTGGCCAGTTCTGCTGCTGCGAAGTGCAGGGCTGTGAGCGGGTGAGGCATTGCCACCTACCTGCCTGGAGCAGGGGACAGGCGTGGGTGCCCTGACACCTGCACAGGATCACGTCACCCAGGGGCTGTATCTTCTGGCAGGAAGATGCCATCTCTTATTACACCCGAATGAATGACAGACTGCTGGAGAGGATTACTGCTGAGGAGTGCCTGGTCCAGGACCAGCCTCTAGGAATGGCCTTTGTCACCTTCCGTGAGAAGTCCATGGCTACTTTGTGAGTACGGCTGAACCCCTCGTCCCACCTGCTCACATTTGTCTCTTGTCTGTTCTTGGGGGAATTCCAGTGTATATTTGAGTGACAGCTGGTCGGGCTGGGTATGGCATGGTCCTTACTGACCCTGCCAGGCTGATGTGGCCCAGCCCCACAGTCGAGCTTCCACCAGTGGCTCCGGTCCACCAGTCCACCCTGCTGTTTGTGTGTAACAATCTGCCAGGTGGATTGAAACTCGGGACCCAGGGTCCTGCTCTGTCTCTTGACAAGCAGACAGCTATGGGGACCCTGTGGAACACTCTGGGTGTCCCTAGCTACAGAATCCTGGAGCTGCAAGCTTATGAAGCTCTCTCAGGCCTCGGGCCTTAGTGTCGCCACACCTTAGAGCCCTGAGTGTGTAGGGCGCAGAGAGGATGCCAAAGCTCTTGTGCTTTCTGTGCCTCAGGCATGGTGGCTCTGGGGATGGCCTCTGGGATGTTACCAAGGGCTCTGGCCTCTTCTGTAGGAAGAGGAGAGGTGTAGCTCTGAGGTAGCAGAGAGATTCTGTGGGTTTAGCCAAAGCGGGAAGCTTGAGATGGTGAGGGTGGGCCACGAGTCCTAGGAGAAAACTTGAAGAATGGGCAGTATGTAGTGCGACCTGGTGCCATTCCCGACCTGGGGGCACAGTGAGGACTGGGAAGTGGAGCCACTTGGCTGGCACAGAGTCAGCTTTATGTTCCACTGTTACAAGGAGGCATAGAGGGTGGCTCCTTGGAGGCACACCGTAGTAGGGCCGTGCAGACAGTACAGAAGTGGGCCGGATATGTGCAGGTGCTAAACCTAACGAGCTGGGCCTCAATTTCCCTGTCTGTAAAATGATGCAGCAACCTGTTGCTTGCAGAGTTCTGCTGAAGGTGAATCAAAACGCTCTGCAGCATGGCAGGAAGGGCATTTCTTTTTAATTGTTTGAGACAGGATCTTAAATAGTTCAGATTGGCTTGGAACTCATTATGTGACCCAAGGCCATAATGGACTAAACTGTGAAGCTATAAGTCAGCCCCAACTAAGACAGTAGACAAGGGCCTGAGCCTTAGTTAGGACTTCTGTTTTTTTTTTTAATTTTATGTGCATTGGTGTGTATGTCTGTGTGAGGGTATTGGATCCCCTGAACCTGGAATTACACATAGTTTTGAGCTGCCATGTGGGAGCTGGAAATTGCACCAGGGTCCTCTGGAAGAGCAACCAGTGCTCTTAACAAATGAGGCATTTCTCCAACCCTTAGTTAGGGTTTCTATTGCTGTGAAGAAACACTATGGGGCTGGAGAGATGGCTCAGCAGTTAAGAGCATTGTCTGCTCTTCCAAAGGTCCTGAGTTCAATTCCCAGCAACCACATGGTGGCTCACAACCATCTTCAGTGAGGTCTGGTGTCCTACATGCAGACAGAATATTATATACATAATAAGTAAATTAAAAAAAAAGAAACACTATGACCACAGAAACTTTTTTTTTTAAATATTTTTCAGGACAGGGTTTCTCTGTGTAGGCCTGGCTATCCTGGAACTCACTTAGTAGATCAGGCTGGCCTTGAACTCACAGAGATCCGCCTGCCTCTGCCTCCAGAGTGCTGGGGTGCCACCACTGTCTGACTACAACAACTCTTATAAAGGAGCACATTTAATTAGGACTGGTTTACAGTCTCAGAGTTTAGTCCATTATTATGGTGGGAAGCATGGTGGCATGCAGGCAGACATGGTGCTGGGGAAGGAACTGAGAGTTCTACATCTGGATTCACAGGCAGCAGGAGGTGACAGCGAGTCACACAAGGCTTGGCTTAAGCTTCCGAGACCTCAGAGCTACCTCCCTAGTGATGGACTTCCTCTAACAGAGCCACACCCACACCAATAAGGCCACACCTCCTAATAGTGCTACTCCCTAGTGACCTATGGGGGTCAGCCACACCCACACCAATAAGGCCACACCTCCTAATAGTGCTACTCCCTAGTGACCTATGGGGGTCAGCCACACCCACACCAATAAGGCCACACCTCCTAATAGTGCCGCTCCCTAGTGACCTATGGGGGTCATTTTATTCAGTCCATCACATCTGCTCATGATCCTCCTGCCTCAGCCTCTCCAGTGCTGGGATTGCAAGTGTGCAGCACACCATACTGGGGTCGTTCTGAGCACTAATCACACGATAGTAACAATGGGGCAGGCATCCTGTGCTCGGCCCTTGTTCTGTCTGTGGCTGCTGTGACTGTGTGTGGCACACAGGCGAACTGCACTGTAATAGCTTCTGCATTTCTCGACAGCATCCTGAAAGACTTTAATGCCTGCAAGTGCCAGGGCCTTCGGTGTAAAGGGGAGCCCCAGCCATCCTCCTATAGCAGAGAACTTTGTGTCTCCAAGTGGACTGTCACCTTTGCCTCCTACCCTGAGGACATCTGCTGGTAAGTTCCCAGGAGGGTGGGAGAAAGACCTGGTTTTCTGCAGAGCTTGGGGAGGGGGTAGAAGGATGGGGAACTGGGAGTTGGAGGGGTGTTGCCTAGTTACCTGGAGCATAGATGTGGCCTGGCTTTTTTTTTTCTTAAAGAAATATTTATTTATTTCTGCATGGTGGTGGCAAATACCTTTAATCCCAGCACTCCGGAGGCAGAGGCAGGCAGATCTCTGTGGGTTTGGTCTACTGAGTGAGTTCTAGAATAGCCAGGACTGTTGCACAGAGAAACCCTGTCTCAAAAAATCCCCCCAAAGACAGCCACTGAAGCAGTTTACCCGAGCTAATGGGAGCTCACCAACTCCAGCCATACAGGGAAGGAACCAGCATAGGGCCAAACTAGACCTCTGAATGTGGGTGACAGTTGTATGGCTGGGGCAGACTGCAGGGCCACTGGCAGTGGCTCCAGGATTTATCCCTACTGCTTGTACTGGCTTTTTGGGAACCCATTCTCTTTGGATGGATACTTTACCCAGCCTAGATATAGTAGGGAGGGCCTTGGACCTTCCCCAAAGCAATGGACCTTACCCTCTCTGAGGAGTGGATGGAGTATGTGGTGGAGGGAATGGGAGGAGGGGAGGGAGTGGGAACTGGGATTGTTATATAAAATGAAAAAAAGATAGTTTGTTTTCTTTAAAAAAAATAAAGAAGAGAGAAAAAACATCCCCCAATATTTATTATTTTATTATTTTTGGTTGTTTTGAGATGGGGGCTCTAGTTGTCCTGGAACTCACTATGTAGACCAGGCTGTCCTTGAACTCACAGGGATCCACCTGCCTCTGATATTAAAGGTGTGCACCAGTATGCCCAGTTTTTTAACACATGTTTTGAACACCTACTGTATGCCAGATACTATTCTATTTTTGATGATTTTATTTTAATTTTTATGTACATGAGTATTTTGCCTGCATGTGTGTCTTTGTACCATCTCTGTGCCTGATGCCCACAAAGGCCAGGAGAGGGCTAACATTGTTCCTGGAACTGGAGTTACAGATGCTTATAAGCCTCCGAGTTCGTGCTGGGAGTCGAATCTGGATCCCCTGAAGCAGCCGGCACTCTTAACCACTGAGCCATCTTTAGAACTGTGGCCTCGCATTTAACGGCCAGCAGCACAGCGTGGAGTCCAGGCTCTGGGCCTGGTGCTGTGATACGTTTGATTAAGTCAGGCAGAGGAGTCCGTGCTTTCCCCCATGGTCAGTCTTTGACATTCAAATGCTGTCCAGAAGAAATATCATGTCAGCTATGTACCTCATTAAAAATAGTCTAGTAGCCAAGAAAGAAATAATTGAAATTAATTTTTTTTTCAAGACAGGGTTTCTCTATGTAGCTTTGGAGCCTGTCCTGGCACTTGCTCTATAGACCATGCCTGCCTCAAAGTCACAGAAATTGCCTGCCTCCCTAGTGCTGAGATTAAAGACGTGCACCATCGCCGCCCCACAAGTGAAATTAATTTTAATTTAAACCTCTATTGTATACTCCAAATGCTAACATTGTAGCATGTAATATATATTTTTAAACCAAGTCTCATGTTTCTCCGATTCATACTCAGTCTTTGAAATCTGTTGCATATTTTATCATTCTTGGACCTCTGTAGCTGAGGCCACCCATACGTCAAGTGCTCGGTAGCCACGTGGCTATGTGACTACCACATCACACAGCACAGCCCTAGGTAGAATGGAGGCCATGCTGCTGAGCTGAGCCATGTCTGTAGACCTCGGGTGAGATTTAGGACCCACTCTGAGGATGGAGGCATCCAAACCTGCTGTCTGCTAGGCAGGCCTTCTCGGTTGCTTGGGTGGAGTAAATCTTGGATGCACAATATCTCTCGCTTTTGAGCTCAGCCTCTGACAGTCTTGCCCTCTGGGTCATAGAGCATCCCAGAATTGAGGCTGTTTCCGTGGGGTGAGGAGTCAGGTCCAGCTCTGCCTGTGCTCCCTGCTTTCCTCCTTGCGCCTCAGCCCTTGCCCTCCCTGGAAAGAATGTACTATTAGTTACAAAGCATTGCATCCCTCAAGAAGTGTCAACGAGGGAGTTTTGCCTGGACGGTGTCGGGTGGTCTGCGACATCACTGGTAATTCCTGTCACTACTGACAACTGTTTTCCTTCTGAGCTCCAGGACCTGAAACTCGGCCTTCTGTGGCTGAAGGCCAGTGCAGAGAACTTGCTTTGCCCAGCCTGAGCCCTAGTCTGGCCTCCCTAAAGTTGGTTGGACCTGCCTCAGCCACAGGCGCTGCCGGTGTTGCAGACAGCCTGTGCCTGGGAGATTAAGCCCCTTGGCTGGTGTTGCCCTCTACAGGAAGAACCTCTCCGTCCAGGGTGTCCGCTGGTGGCTCCAGTGGCTGGGCATAAACTTCACTCTGTTTGTGGTGCTGTTTTTCCTGACCACACCCTCTATCATTATATCTACCATGGACAAGTTCAATGTCACCAAACCCATCCACGCATTGAATGTGAGTGATCGACCTTCAGGGAGAGGGTGGTGGGGAGCAGTGAGAACCGGACATGGAGCTTGAAGGCTTGAAGCAGGGGGCCGTGCCACTCAGCTCATGTTTGCTGTGTGTGTGTGTGTGTGTGTGTGTGTGTGTGTGCACATGTGCAAGTGTGGAAGCCGGAGAAGGATATTAGTTGTCCTGTTTTATTACTTTGAGACAATCTCTCATGGGTCCTGGTAGAAGTCTGGCAGCTGGAAGGTCCAGTGATCTTCCTGTCTCCACTGCTTACAGTGCTGTGGGCACAGGAAGGCACAAACCTGGCTTTTCACACAGACTGCTGGGGATTTGAACTCAGATCCTCATGCTTGCACAACAAGTAGTCTTACCCAGTGGAGACTTTCTAGTCCATGTTTGCCCTTTGAAGCTTTGAGCGGGCATGGTGATGTTTATCATAGAGCCTTTACGGTCATGCAATAATGTTCACTTAATGGGATCAGTCTAATGTTCAACAGGAGAGGTCATTGAGCTGAATGATGTCTGTTTAGCCTGAAGAAAATGTGAAACATTTACGAAAAACTGCATAGTTATTTTGGTAAGCTTATAGTAAAAGCAGGATATACTTGGCATGATGGCTCACACCTGTAATCCTAGCACTTGGGAGGTAGAGGCAGAAGATTGAAAGTTCAAGGCCACACTGGTTTACAGAGTGAGACCCTTTTTCCAAAACAGACCAGCCAGGTCCGGAGACACACCTCATGGTTAAGAGCTTTTACTAACTGTTTCTAGAGCACACGGGCTCTGTTCCCAGCACTGCCCCAGTCAGCTCACAGCTGCCTTCACTCTGCCCTCCACATCAGCCTGAGCATACTGCACAGACTCACACAGGCAAATATACACATGCTTAAATAAAAATAATCAAGGCTTAAAAAACCCAGCCAACCAATCAAACAAAACCTCCCGTACTTATTGTAGAGTTGCATTTAAACAATGATGTGTATGTATATATATATACACACACATATGGCTTTACTTTCCAACATAGTCCTGATTGTCTTGTTTTAAAGCATTATATCTGCTGTAGGTAATGAATGTTTTTCATCTGGCAATGATAGATACTCAAGAGGCTGAGATAGGCTATATGTCAGATGTGGTAGTGTACTCCTATATTCCAGGGCTTGGGAGGGGTCCTGGCACCCTGGTCCTGGCTTTGCCACCACTGACTGGTAAATTCTGAGCCTGAGTTTTTCATGCATTAGCTGGAATTGGTCACCTGTCATGTTACACCTGTGCAGATGGGAGGAGCATTTTTCTGGCTCGAAAAACATTTAAAAACATCCAAGTATACACGGCATAGTTCTCTTTGGACCGATGACAACAGGTAAAATCCATTCTCTTGCCAATCTTTTGGTGCAGACACAAGGCCTGTTTTTCTGAGGACTTCTGCTGGTTAGAGTTCCTCTCTTTGTCTGTCTTATATAAGCTATGCTCTTATTTCACCGATTCCGATTCTAGTTTGGGTTTCTTAAAGTAAGAACTTAGACTGTGGGTGTAGTTCATTGCATAACAAGAAAACAGCCCTGAAGCTCTCCTGTCCCAAGTACCCCAAATTAAAGAATAAATAAAGTAAAACAAGCATTTAAACATACATGCATGTCTAGTGCTCGAGGAAGCCAGAAGAGGGTGTTGGATCCCACTAGAACTGAAGTTATAGATGGTTGTGAGCCACCATACGGGTGCCGGGAATTTACCCCATGTCCTCTGGAGAATAGCCAGTGCTCTTAACCGCTGAGTCATCTTTCCAGTCCCTAATTTACTCTTACGTAATTCAACAGCCTATTTTTAGAAATGGATTTTAATAAATCTTTTCAAAATGTTCAACTTAAGCTTTTAAATTTTTCCATATTTGTTTTTGAGGTCCTGGGAACTCACACATTCTTGGCCAGCACTCTGTACTGAGCCGTACCTCTAGACAGCCGCGGCTTAGTTTCAAACAGTATTTCCTCCTGCTTTTATGTTCCTTTAATCAGTGAAAATAAATTCTGTAATGACAGTAGCCAGTACAACCGGTATAAACAGGATTAGGATCAGGCACCATGGGGCTGTGGCAAACTGGAAAGTGGGTGTTGACCAGTTGGAGAGGAGCCCTGGACTCCACTGGGGATGGAGAAGTTGGTCTCCCCTGGCTCATCAGATGAGTGGAGTTGCATTGCACGTGTGACGCCTCCCTCGGCTGTAAAGGTCGCGCAGCCACGAAGCGCAGTTACTCTTTATTTGCTGGGGCTTGAGGACGGCCCACCCTTTACCCAGCATGGCTTTGGTTCTGGAGGAAGGCTAGGAGCACTTTGAGCTACCGGGTCCCCAGAGGCCCCCAACCCTATCCTGACCCTTGTGGTGGCTCTTGTCTTTCAGGACCCTATCATCAGCCAGTTTTTCCCCACACTCCTGCTCTGGTCCTTCTCGGCGCTGCTCCCTACCATTGTCTACTACTCCACACTGCTGGAGTCTCACTGGACGAGGTAAGCAGAGTCTGAGCCTGTTCTGGAGTGGATGCCTTTTACTCCACCCTGGGGCGGAGAGAGCAGGCGCATCGCTGGATCAACTCCTCCACCTGGGGGGAGCAGGC